ACAGTAGTGTGTACTGTACGGTTCAGTACACAGTAGTGTGTACTGTACGGTTCAGTACACAGTAGTGTGTACTGTACGGTTCAGTACACAGTAGTACTGAATAAAACATGCTGAAGATGCTCTGTGTTGAAGGATCAGAGGATCTGTGTTCGACTACTCCACTTAGGCTGTATTTTTGAGCTCAGATCCACTGAGAAACTTGCTGTTTCAGCAACATTTAATTTAAAAACTGGACTTTTCAGGTTAAACAAATGTTCATAATTAATTTAAATAAATTACAAGTTGAAAGGGGCATGGATATTTCTGTTTTTTGTACAGAAAAATATCGAACCGTGAGACTAAAGTGTGGAACTGAATCGTGAACCGTCCATCGGTGCAGCTCTGGTTTTTACACGTCTTTTTACTGGAAGAATAACTTCACAGTTAAAATGTTACACATAAATACATTTAAAAAACATTAATGATTTGGGTTTAGCTCCAATATCTACGACGGAGTATTACGGCCACACAAAAAAAATTATTATGACAATAAAGTCATAATATGAGAATAAAGTCATAATATTATTAGAATAAAGTAATAATACAAGATAAAAGTTATAATCTAACATGACGTGTCCATTTTCTGTTCCTCATTTCCTCCTTATTTTCCTCACACTGTGCACATCCATGTTTATAAATTAGTCCTCGATCATCCAAATTAACTAACGACTCAATCTGTCAATGCTTTCATTAACTACAGTACAGCTTCACTTTATACTCATTTGTACAATTTAGTCCTGCTACTGATAATCTGATGCTAATGTGCTAAAAGATGAACTATTTATTTATAACAAAACTAAAGAACAACTTGACAACATTCCTGTTTTTAATGCAGTGATAACTGGATGCTTTATGTAAACGCTACAATATTAATTAATTAATTAATGCAGTGATAACTGCATGCTTTATGTAAACGCTACAATATTAATTAATTAATGCAGTGATAACTGCATGCTTTATGTAAACGCTACAATATTAATTAATTAATGCAGTGATAACTGCATGCTTTATGTAAACGCTACAATATTAATTAATTAATGCAGTGATAACTGCATGCTTTATGTAAAC